TTTTTTTTTTTTTTGAGACAGAGCCTCACTTTGTCAAACTTCATAGAGTGCTTTGGAGTCATAGCTCACAGCAACCTCAAACTCTTTGGGCTTAAGCAATCCACCTGTCTCAGCCTCCCGAATAGCTGGGACTACAGGGCCTGCCACAATTCTGGGCTATTTTTAGAGATGGGGTCTGGCTCTTGCTCAGGCTGGTCTCCAACTCCTGAACTCAGGCAGTCCACCTGCCTCAGGCTCCCAGTGTGAGCCCCACTGCACCCCAGAAAAAATGCTTTCTAAAGGTCATCTGGAAGAAGAAATGGGAAAGAATAGTCAAAATAAGTAATCAGAGAGTGGTGGAATAGCGTTCTGTCAGATGTTAGTCTGTAAAGTGACAATAATAACAGTGAAAGTACAGTGATACAAGTTGCCAAATAGCTCAGTGTTACAGAATATGTGAGGAGCAGGTAGACATGACCTCATGTGGGAAGGACTGACTGTTCAGGAATGATGCTGGGACAATTCACTGACCATTAGGAAAAAACAAATTTAGGTTCTTTACCACTCATCATACTTTGCGAATAAATCACAGAAGGATTAAATTTAAAAAGTATAGAAAATCCCTAATAGCTTGGCACCTGTGGCTCAAGCGGCTAAGGCACCAGCCACATACACCTAAGGTGGCGGGTTCCAATCCAGCCGGGGCCCGCCAAGCAACAATGATGGCTGCAACCAAAACATAGCCAGGCATTGTGGCAGGTAGTAGACAGGCATGTTTGATCTTTTTTTTTTTTTTTTTTTTTGAGACAGAGCCTCAAGCTTTCCCCCTGGGTAGAGTGCTGTGGCATTATAGCTCACAGCAACCTCCAACTCCTGGGCTCAAATGAGTCTCCTGCCTCAGTCTCCCAAGTAGCTGGGACCACAGGCACCCACCACAATGCCCGGCTATTTTTTGGTTGCAGCCGTCATTATTGTTTTTTGACGGGCCCAGGCTGGATTCAAACCCGCCACCTTAGGTGTATGTGGCTGGCGCCTTAGCCGCTTGAGCCACAGGCGCCAAGCCAGCATGTTTGATCTTAGATGAGGTCTTTGATTAAAGATGAGAAAAAGATGAGTATAAAAGTAATAGAAGGAATCACTAAAGGAAAACTCAGAAGATTTGATTCCATAAAAATTAAAATTTTTCACTACATAAAAATCTTAAAATGGAAAGATAAGAGAGAAAAACTTATTTTTAACAAGTATGCTGGTGTTAGTGTCCTTAATATAAGGCTTCTACAAAAATACAAGGAAAATGATGAAATGTTTGTATATTTTCTGATCTAAGTTTTCATTATCTTTGTAATAAAGATATAAGTTTTTCAAATGTATTTAGGAAAAAAAAGTGAGCACGGGCCATGATAAAATATCACAGGAAAAGACATGCAAATTACCAGAAATGTTTTTAAATGTTCAGTCCTTGTTTATTATCATAAAATGCAAGTAAAAATAAGATACCATTTTTCATCTCTCTCTCTTAGTCAGAGAAAGCAACTTTGTACATATAAAGAGCCTTAAACACAATAAGAAAATGAGATATTTAGGTCCAAAGATGTTCAGTTAAAGTTGAAAACAGCCCATTGAAAGTTAATCTCTAAATGTTTCCAATTTAAATTATGTGCATCTTTGAGGCGTAGAGATCTGCTCAAATGCTTTTATACATGTAAGATGATTTTATGTTATACAATGAGAAAAAAATGCTGAAAAGAAAAATACCAAAAATAGCAATAAGTATTCTTTGGGTGTTGGGATTAGAGATGATTTTTACTTTCTTCTCAAGAACGCTATCTTGTTGGGTACAGTTATCTCTCATTCCCTTAATAAATAGAAAAACAAATGCCAATATTTCTTAAAGTTTCCCCTCTTCTTGAAGGACAGTGGTTGGTATCTTACAAGGGAAGAGATGTTACAAAGGAAGGTTTGAAATTACAAAACACATCTTCAAAGCTTCCACTCCAAAATATGCATTATTAATTTAGGAGGGCTGCCATACTAATTAATTAACGTGGCTTAATTCAGAATTTGAGTACCTTCTGTGTGCTAGGTTCTGAGATAGTTAAATCATCTGTCGCATTCCACTTAGCAATGTTAATATAGTTACACATCTATTGCAGTTGAGAACATCGTAAAAGAAACACTCCCTTTACTTCTGTCAAAATATGCCTCCCTGCCCTTCCCCTAATGCCTAACGAACTCTTGCTTCTTGGTCTTGCTTTCAGTGGAAGCAGAGAGACCTAGTTAGGGAGAGAGGTTGGTTAAGTTGCAGGATTCAGAGACTATCTAAAATACAGAGCTGCCTTCCAGCCTCTGAAAACTGAGCTTACACGTCTGTGAAGGGATTAGCTGCTGGTCAAGGCTGTGTTCCCACAAAGCCCTGGGGAACAGGGCTTGGCTCTCTTAAGGAACCCATCCCTGGAAAACAAGAATAGCCAGAGGCAGCAGGGCCAGGAACCTCCCCCCTTAGCCCAGGTGTAGGATGCTGACAGGCAATTTTTCCCAGCTGCACTGCATGGAAGGCTTCAGCTGTTCCCTAGAGTATTTTCTCAATTTCAACCCTACTGACATTTTGGACGAGATCACTCTTTCTCCTAGGGGGCTTTCCTGTGCATTATGGTATATTTAGCAACGTTCTTGGCCCTTTAGACACTAGATCTGGGGTATCCAACCTTTTTTTTTTTTCCCTTGGCCATACATTGGAAGAATACAGGTTATCTTGGGCCACACGTGAAATACACAAACACTAACAAAACCTGAGTAGCCAAAGAAGAGGTTCATGCAGACTTTTTGTGATATCCAACACCATTGTAAGTAAAAATAAGTCCGTACAAAATCAGCAGGCGGCCCGTGGGCCTAGACTAGACAGGAGTAGCATTTCCCCACCCCTGTCATCATAGTCAACAATGTCTCCAGACATTGCCAAACGTCTCTCTGGGGCAAACCTGCCCCCAGTTGAGAACCGCTGCTATAGACTGTGGTACCCAGACATCAGGGGGGCCTTTCCCCTTCTGTAAGCAATTAGATCACTAACCTAGCTATTACTCCAATGATAATGTTTACTAATATTTTTATATTTTCTTCCCATAAATGTCTTTTCTTTGCTGGTACATTGATAAACTTTAACACATATGTATTTGTAGTCTCCTTTTTGTATAATTTTTTATTGCCGGTAGGTATATTGTTATGCTCAGGCTGAGAGTAACCCTTAATTTTTTATACAGCTGGGGTTAATCATTTTAAGTAAATTATGTGGGAGTTTTTCCTAACTAACGTCTGAATGCCTTTTGATGTGCTCTAAACCATTATCACTATCTAGTATTTTAGTTTGAATTAATCATATTAATTAACCAATGCTCATAGATTAGATTTTATTTTCATACAAGATCTAAATAAATAACACAGTTATTTTGCGTAGATGTTAAAATGATAGTGAGTTTTATATTTTTCTGACTTGTGCTTTTAAAATGTTTTTAATGGAATTTGTTTCTCAAATCATTTTTTTCCTGGTTATATGTTTAAAATTACTCCATAAGGGCACTGCATAGGAGGAAAATATGGACACTATCTAAGTCCCTGAAGCTTCTGTAGGCTAAATGATAACTGCCTAGCCCAGTGCCAGAAAATTATAGTTTATGTGCGATAAATTTAAGTGGAACCTTTCTCCATTTGTTGTTATTTCCATGCTTTTATAGGCATTGAAACATCCATATTTTCAAGTTGGTCAGGTATTAGGTCCTTCTTTAAATTACCTGGAATCAAAACAGCCTTTAAACAAGCACCTGCAACCGTTAGAACCAAAACCACCTTTAAACAAGCACCTGCAGCCGTTGGAACCAAAGCCGTCCTTAGCTGAACTGGAATCTAAGCCTCTGCAAGACTCAGTTGATCAGACGGTCGGACAGCCTAACGCCAAACCCAGCCACCAACCACTGCAGCCCATTCAGCCGCCACAGAACGTGAGTGTCCAGCAACCTCCAAAGCAACAGTGTCCGCAGAAACTACCACAAACCCTATTTCCAAGCATCATCAAACACATGCCAACTGTAAGTAGCCAACACTGACACTGGATAGGAAGTAGCTTGACTCATGCAATGAGGATTCCGTTTCAAGGCATTTCTGATTATGTTGAGGAAGACAGGAAAGGTTATTCTATGTTAAAACTGCTGCTTCCTCTGGTAGGAGCTCGACATGAGATAACTTAAAATTCTATATGGTTTAAAAAGGAAAACTTTCACAATGGAAGCAACCGAGTTCACATGCTATAGACTTCCTTTAATAGTGCCTTGGATGCAAAAGAAATCAAAGAAAGAATGAGAATCAAGTACTCTAGAGTACTGATGCGAAGTCTTAGTTATTTTAAGGGCACTATCATTTTGCACTGTTTTAAATGCTAATGAACATGAACAGAATTTTTTTTTAAGTGTCAGGCATAGTATAAAACTTCTTCTCCCCACTCCTTCTGTTCAGTTCTAGGAGCCATCTAGTGCCATGTTGTTTTAGCCATTCCCTTGACTAGACACACTCCCAAATGCGTTAGCATTATGGCACTTCAGAACTGAAAGGATCTTAAACAGTGTGTCTGATTCCTTACCTAGTCCCCAACCACCACCACCATCCTAATGTAAGTGAGAGTCCCTCGCCCCTCAACAGCACTAATCACATTCTAACATACTATTCATCACTTGTTTCTTACGTTATTTTCTATTATCTGGCCCTCTCTACTACCATGTTTCCCCAAAAATAAGACCTACCCCCAAAATAAGCCCTAGCAGGATTTCTATGAATTTGTTAAATATAAGCCTTACCCCGATAATAAGACCTAGTGATGGGTGTGGCTATGTAGATTTTAGCACAGAGAGGGGGAAGACATCCCCTGAAAATAAGCCCTAGTGTGTCTTCTTGAGAAAAAATAAATATAAGACAGTGTCTTATTTTCTTATGGTAGAATGCAAGTTCTGTGGGGAATTTTTATCATTATAGTCCCAGAACCCGGAGTGGTGCCTGCCACATGGTGGATTGTCAATAAATATTTGTTGAGTGAATGAATAATTGTCCACACTATTTTTAAACCACCTCCAGGGTCCTGGGGAGTCTTCTTCATCTGTGGGACATGCTTTCTTATGCTGAGCTAAAATCTGGTTTATTAAAATCTGGAGCTTTTAAAAAAATCTAATTACTTCTAGAAAAGGCAGCCTTTTTGGTATTTGAAGACAGCCCTCATAGGATCCGCCCTTTTCCTAGGAGAAACACCCCCACTTGCCTCACATGCTCCCCACAGACATCATTCACCAATGACTGAGTGGCCCTCAGTTCCTGTGTGTGAAGGAGCCTCTATGTCCCCGCGCATCCTGCGTCCCACCTGGAATGAGGCTACCGGAGCTAGAGGCAGACTAGCAGGGAGACAGCACAGAGCCAGGGCATCACCTCTAACATTCCGACATTGTGTGTTCACTCCCCCTGTCCCACAGAAGGCACATCAGATGTTGACTCATGTTGACAAGGAAGGGGAGGAAGTTCACATGTACTGAGTAGATACTAAGTTGTGTGCACTGTGCTAGGTCCCCATGTGCACTCTCTTGCCCTAACGTTTGACAAGCTAATACATTCCAGAGCTAAGATTCGGCATTCTGTCAACTAAAATCCCTAAGTCTACCTGTTTATTTTAATGCTTTTGCTAAATCATATATCCTGTACCTATATATTTGATGTCTAAGATTCGAAGAGTTGTAATGGGGCTAGGGTGCCATAGTATGAGCCTAGCTCATGGCAACCTCCAACTCCTGGGCTCAAGCCGTCCTCCTGCCTCAGCCTCCCGAGTGGCTAGTTATAGGTGCCTGCCACCACACCTAGCTAATTTTCTATTTTTCATAGAGACAGGGTCCTGCTCTTGCTCAAGCTGTTCTCCTCTCTCAGCCTCCCAGCATATAAGGATTATAGGATGAACCACCATGTCTGGCCTTGAGTTATTTTTGAACTCTTAACTTTTGTTCTGTTTGACCATTCTGTCTAGCTCGTTGCTAGCTGTGGATTTATTTAGTTTTTTTTTTTTTTTTGGTTTTTTCCTGTATCTTGATGATGAACAGAATAGTAATAACCTGTTGGGCAGGCTGCTAGGACGTTCTACATTGACAGTGACCCATCCGTCAGCACTCTGGGCAGATTACTGAACTGTGTACTGATGCCTCTTGGCTGTCCTTTCATCACTTTATTTCAGTGATAAGGTTGACATGAAAAATTCTGTCGCTCACTTGGCTAACGTCCACATATACTACATCAAACAAATTCCTGTTTTGCTCTTTAGGAAACACTATGGTCCTCTAAGATTCACCAATTTTTTTGCCCTTCCTGGCACAAACGTTCTCTTTGATAATTGATTTTAGAATTTTTGCCCTCATCTTGTACCACAGTGAATGTGGAGTTTGCAAACATCCTCCTTCTACTTTGTGAGAATTATTTATATTTTCTCCTTTCCGGTCTTGCTAGACATACGTGATTCTTGGCTACCTCTGACATTGTTCAGCAGTGTTCAGCATTGGTACCCTAAATACAGCACAGTGGAGAGGGGGCTTGAACTCAGTGAGATATAATGTTTTACTAACCCTGCCCATCTGGAGCTTTAGATATTTGTATTCTCTTCAGTCTGGAGATTGTTCTTCCTGGCCAAAATAATAATAGTACAGAAGTGGTCAGAGTCCACTCTTAGTCTTCATGCGTCATTATGACATTACCAGCTTCAAGCAATAGCATTAACCCTTTTTAAAGCATCTTCTTGCTCCCAACATAGCTGTGTTTGGCTGCCATTCCTTCCGAGCTCTATTTTCTGATTTTGAATTGCCTTTTGAATTTTAATGTATATACACCCCCAAACCACTTTGTGTAAATTTGCCTAAAACCAATTCATTGCCCCAAGCCAGAACGTCTACACTCCCTGTGTCTGTCCATGGCGCCACATTCTGTCACAATCAGATGCAGACTTCCCTCTCTGTGTCCGTGAGGATTACATTCAGTGATTTATGACAAAAACTCCAACCACTGTGGCTTAAACAATGGGGGTTTTCTCATTGAAGAAGTTGGGTGGTGAGCAATCCAGCAGCTTCCAAAAGAACCAGCCTGCTGCTGTCTTCCGGTTCCACCACCTTAGCAAGTGGCTATCAGGCCTGTGGCCCTGAGATGGCTGTCACTCCTTCAGATGTCCCATCTGCATTCTAGGAGGGAGAAGAGTAAAAGATACTAGCACGTGGCAGCCTTCGTGCCTTCTTCTTAAGGCTGTCGCCACTTGAGAAGGACGCTAAGGTTTTGAGAAGTTAAGTCACTTGCCCAAGAGACACAGCCAAATCTCAGTTTTCTGCATCCTTCAAATCAGATCCTAAATATTTTAAGTCCCCTTCCAACCCAAGTTCACAGAGACCTCTCCTCTCTGAGTACCCATTATATTTTTGGCATTTATTACCTATTTTTGTTAAGGTTTTTAAATGTGTGTATGTGTTATCTCCTTGTGAATGGAGAATCTTAGTGTCAAACTTAATAGCTTGTGCATGAAAGGCATTCAGCAAATGATTAAAGATTATGATGACTAATTTTTCCACCACAGAAGACAAATGGCACAGTGGGTCATAAAAATGCTAGGAGGCGTTGGGGTCAAGCTGTCTTCAAGTCTGGAGATAGCTGGGAAGAGTTTGAGGACTATGATTTTGGAGCCTCCCATTCCAAAAAGCCAAGCATGGGTGTTTTCAATGAAAAGAGGAAGAAAGATACTCCATTTTGGTGAGTTTTCAAATTCTTCAGAAAAAAAAAAATATTTTTATCATATATCAACTTTATTTTGCTCTTTGAATACATATACATGAATGTAAACCTTAAAAGAGAAAAAGTTGGCTTAATGTTGTTCTATTCTCCAAAACCCAAATCTTTTCAATATGTCTGAAAAGGTAAGACTCTTGACTGTTCACAGGAATGATTCTCAGTGTTAATGGAGTGTGTGTGTAGGAAGGGGTTCTTGTTCAGTTTTTATGGTGCTGTTGTGAATTACGATCATCATCATTCCCATATGAAATTTACAAATTTGCAGAAAGCAGAGCTCCATGTACGAGGTTAATGGTTTGTTCTGATGATGTTAAGATTTAATTATTAGCTTGCTTGTTGTTGTAAACTTTTCGATCATTTTCTGAACTTTTCTGGATGTTTAATATCTCTAGGAGTTCTTTTTCTTTTTATAAGTTAGATCATCATCAGTGCATTATTCAACTTTGAAGTCAGGGTGGGTTAAATTTTTGGTGAACAATTGGAAAGATACTTTCAAGTTTTTTTTCCTCTTGGGAACAGAAGAGGAATCAGGAGAATAATTGTGTCTTCAGTCAGGGAAACTTGTCCAATAGCTGTTTAGCCTGGTATAGAGCAGACTTTGGGGCACTCAGCCCTTTCAGGATGCTTGGGGAATCTCTAAGTGGTATGTATACTTGGATAATTATTTGACAGTCAGTTTCCAGATCCCCATGTTCCATAGGTAGGTACTCATTCCTAAAATGCCTGAACTTGAGGAAATGCCCACTTAATTCCTCTCCCGCTTCAGGCAGGAAAGTCATACTTCTCCACTATTTCAAATCTTACATGCCAGTAGAGACTAAAGAGAGAAATCAGAAGGCTGGTGCCTTCATCAGGCCTTGTTTCTTATACATACAGGGTGGACAGAAAGTTCTTACGCAGTTTAAAGTAGCAAAGTAATTTAAATTACACACGAACTTTATGTCCACCCTGTATTCCTCCTGCATTAGACATAAGGGTACAGTTGTCTGCCCTTAGCCACAGTCCCGCTTTCTACGGGTTTGGTCACCTGTGGTACAGTTCAATTAGAACACATGGAGCAGAACATGTTGTCACAGCCACATCCTCTGGTAGTGACGGCTGCCACGTGCACTGCCGTTAAAATGGCTTCAGGAATGGGACAGAGCTAAGCCTGCATGCTGCACAGGGCTGTGGGAGGCCGGACTGAGTGGCAGCGTCGGTCTTGGTACTGACACCGGGAGCAGCTAGCCAGGTGCCCGGCTGCAGATTCTATACCACAGAACGGGCCTGTCTTAGCAAATACCTATTTTCTAAGCGTGTCACCAGGGTAATTGGAGATTTTACGTGAGAACTTTTCTAGCACCTCTTTCCCCACTTCCGTTTTCTCAGCCCATCCAAGCCATGCCCCCAAACAACCTTACTGACGATCACATGTCATTTTAGTCGACGGGGGGAGGTGGCTATGATCGTCTTCCCTGTCAGCGCACCAGCTTCACACTGCAGTGGTTACAGGAAAGGTAGAAACATCCTGTACACGAGCAAAGTGCTGCTCAGTTATAAAGCTTCCTGTCGCACACAGCCTGGAATTAGAGATGAGTCCGTGCACGGCTTACTGTCTTCCGGAGGTAGAGGGAAGTTGTCATTTAGTAGTCAATGAAAAGATGCGCAGAGACGGGCAGTGCCTGTGGCTCACTGAGCAGGGCGCCAGCCCCATAGACCAAGGGTGGCGGGTTCAAACTTGGCCCCGGCCAAACTGCAACTACAACAACAAAAAAATAGCTGGGCATTGTGGTGGATGCCTGTAGTCCCAGCTATTTGGGAGGCTGAGGCAAGAGAATTGCCTAAGCCCAAGAACTAGAAGTTGCTGTGACATCATGGCACTCTACCCAGGGCAACAAAGAAAAAGAAAAAAAAAAAAAAAGATGTCCAGAGGCTGGGTGAGAAGCTCTCCTGGTTTGCGTTGTAATGCTCCCTTCTGTTGACTTTCAAGGCTTCCTGAGTCAGTCCCCTCTGGCTCCGACCACTCGCTAGGGGAGAGTAAGAGTTTACCTGCAGCTGTGTCTCTAAAATCTGATTCTGAATTATCAACCGCTTCAACAGCTAAACAGTACTACTTGAAGCAATCAAGATACCTTCCAGGTAAGTAGAAAAAATAAAATAGTTACTGCTAGCTAGAGTATAGTAAGGTCAGGCTCAAGTGTCTTGAAATCTCTGAAGAAAGGGCACCAGTGAAATAAAAAGTCCAAACTGAGGTGCTCTTTGATAGCTTAGCTTGCAGAACATCAAGGACTGTTCTGGACCTCGTGTCTCTGCTTAAGAGACGCACAAGTAGTCAGAAGTCAAGATTATGAATATGCTTCTGAACAATACCACCCTCCCTGGCAAAGCGATTCAGTTAGTAAATGCTAAATGTTATTAAAGCAATTCTGCACTCCCATTACAACTTTTCATAAAAAGTAGATTTTTAAATAATGTTTCCTAAACGATCTAAGTTTTTAAAAGATCATTCTGGCTGCTGGGTAGAGCCTGCTAGGGGCTTAGGAGAGGCAGGGACACTGATCAACAGGCCAGTGCATATGTCCAGGTGGGGAGGGTGCAGGCTTGTTCCAGAGTGAAAGCAGTAGAGATGAAAGGGGGTAAAATCTGGATGGATCTTGGTAGTCGAACTGATAGAACTTGAGGACG